GATACTAAAACACAAGCCTAAACACATTGAGAGAAAGTAAGGAAACATGTATCTCTAGTCTAGTCATAGTAAGCATGGCATGAATAATTGTGTGGCTTCTAATTTGATAATGCTGCAATCGTCTATTAATAATATTTTAAATCGGATTCCTTTAGATGGTTGGAGTTCTTCATTCTTTATTACTCATGCTTGTGGTGATGGTGATTGCTTAGGGACAAGCAATGTTTTAGTTTGGGGTATTTTGATAAGTGTCTAGTTTCCATTATTTTTAATGGCACTTTATTTAAGTTTTCTAGTTTATTTGTGTTAGAATTCCCCTTAATTCCAATTGTTTTCCTTCATTCAACACATGTTATTCGGGTGTCTCAGTTTTGCAGGAATAGCTTTGTTATAGGTTTATAAACTTGGAAACGGGAAACATTTGATGAAGCATTGGATGGAAAGGAATTCAAGCCACTAAAAGCACAAAAATAAAACCTTGGATTGCATTGTAAAAGAAAAGAGAAAAGAACACTTCAGGGCCTTAAAGCATTGTTAAAGAGCATTTTTGGTGAAGTTAAGTGAAATCCACCGGCAGTGGGTTTTTCCCACTGGCAGTGGACTTCACTGGAAAATGAGTATTGGACCCCTGTCACGATCCACTGGCCGTGGGTTTTTCCCACTGGCAGTGGACTTCACTGGAAAATGAGTATTGGACCCCTGTCACGATCCACTGGCCGTGGGTTTTTCCCACTGCCCGTGGACTTCACTGGAAAAAGAGTATTGGGCCCCTGTCACGATCCACTGGCCGTGGGTTTTTCCCACTGCCAGTGGATTCTGCACGTTTTACATTTTCCCTGAATTAGAGGAGCGGTTTTTGAGCATAAAAGATATAAAAAAGAAGTTACGGAGCACAAAAGAAGAGACGAAGACAAGAGGCGTTTTTCCCAAAAAGAAATTTGAAGAAAACCAGAGCAAAAGAGGGAGAACGATTTCTTCTATCAAGAGGGAAATTGAAGAAGCTACAGAGGAGATAGTGAGAACTTCTCTTCTATTCTCTAATTTCCTGTCTCATTTATACTTTTCTCTTATGTTAGGGTTTGATTTATTGTATTGTGGATTGTAATCATCATTTCTATGGCACACTAAATCTCATTCTTGGGATTAGGGGGAATATGTTTATGTATCAATTTTGAATACTTTGAATTTCTCTGTTATTGAATTTCTGTTTTCTATTCATTTCCATGAGAACCTAAAGCTTCTAATGGCTTAGAGATAAGGTTAGATGAATTTAAATGATGTGGATGATTGAGAGATCGATATATCATTAGAAAAGCATGGAATTGAACCTAGGGATTTGGGTTACGAAAGTAGACAAAACTCTTTGAGGGGTAATTGGATTTTCATAAAGCGTAAAGGATCTACTTAACGAATTGAACGTTGTTCTTCGGTAATTAGGTACGTTAGTGGGGTTTCGAGAGGAATACATTAATCAATTAAGGAAAATTCACCTTAGAAATAGAAGTTAAATAATGGGAAACGAATTGATTTAAATTGAATACGTAACATATAAACCTACCGACTCCTAAGAAAGTTTTCACCTTGAGTCTCTTGTCAATAGTTTTTGGTTTTCTATTCATTTTGCAATATATTCTATTTGAAACGATTTGTTTAGATAATTGAATCACTGTGTACCAGTACTTGGGCATAATCTCTGTGGGAACGATAACTTTTTATTACGCGATACTCCGTACGCTTGCGGAACGGCTATCAGAGTTCCACCCCAACATAAGAAGTTGATAGAGTGATGTGACCGATATAATTTGTTAGTCATGTTTTAAAAGTGACAAAGAGTAGGTATCCTAAACTAGATCATGTAGTACTTGCAATAGTGGCAATCGCCCATAGGTTACGACATGATTTTCAAAGTTTCCCAATAGTGAGAAGGATCGATCTACCAATTAAGTAGGTCCTGAGAAAGCCTGATTTGATTAGTCGGATCGTAAAATGGACAGTCGAGTTGTCTGATTATGATATATTATATGAACCATGAGGCCCAATAAAGGCTCAATTTTTATCTGATTTTGTGGTCGAACTCACTCCAAACTTAAAACACCTACAAAATATGGATATGAAGAAACATGAATGTTGTCAGTAAATGGAGCTTCCAACCTAAGCGGTAGTGGCGCAAGAATCATTCTTGAAGTATCAAATGGAATGATGATCGAGTAGTCCTTTCAATTTGTGTTCAAGGCCAGTAACAAATAAGTCGAATACGAAGCCTTATTGACAGGCATGAAGCTAGCTATTGAGATGGGCATCCTTCACCTGAAGAGTGATTCCCAACTAATTATTGGCTAAGTCGCAAGGGGTTACCATGCTCGCGACCCAAGCTTAGCACAATATTTAGATCGGGTTAGGGTACTAATACTGAGCTTCAACACCTTCAAACTCATCCACGTCCCCCGAAAACAAAATTGTTAGGAAAACGTACTATCCAAGCTAGCGAGCACCAAGTGACTCGATAACCATCGGTCAATCATACAAAAAACTCTAACATTGCCCAGCTTAATGGAAGGGATGAATCATATTATGTGCTCTAATACCCAGCGGGCATGAATGCAACCAATTATACCTTACCTCACACACGGAACAAACCCCACTCGAGGGACGAGAGGGCCCCCTTTCGAAAGAGGGTGGCCTGGTTTGTCATGATCGGTGACAAATTATTACAACGAGGATTCTTTGGTCTCCTGCTCTGTTGTTTGTCAGAAGACCAAGCTCTACAGGTCATAGCCGAGTTACACGAAGGAGCCTGTGGAAGCCACATAGGTCAGCGAACTCTAGTGACAAAGGTTTTGCAAGTAAGTTATTATATACCGATGCTTCGACAAGATTGGGCAAGGTACGCAGGAAACTGCCATCAATACCAATTACATGCAGAGATTCTCACGGCTCCTCCTGAACCATTACACGTTGTTGTGTCTCCATGGCTGTTCCACAAATGGGGATTGGATCTACCGGGTCCTTTCCCGATCTCTTTTTGACAAGCCAAGTTTTCTAGTGGTTGTAATAGACTACTTCACCAAATGGATTGAGGTATAACCAGTAGCAGGAATCTCAACCAAACGAATCAAGAATTTCATTTGGAGAACAATCATATGATGATACGAAGTCCCACACACCATCGTCACAAACAATGGCATTCAGTTCGCCAGTTGACTTGTTGGCCACCTATGTGAGCAATTCTGCATACACCATACTTTCTCATTTGTCGAGCACCCACAAACAAATGGGCAGGTTGAGGCTGCTAACAATATCATTTTGAGGGGCCTAAAACGAATATTAGGAAAGAGAAAAACGTTGTGGGCTTCAGAATTGTCCAATGTGTGGTGGTCATATCACACCACGACCCAAGCAACAACCAAGGAGACATCATTTAACTTGGTATATGGCACAAATGTTGTGCTTCTCATCGAAGTGACAGAGCCTATAGAACGTGTGGTCGGTTTTTCGGAGGAAAATGCGACGAATGCCGCTAAAGCAGACCTAGATTGCATCAAAGAGGTACGGGAGCAAGCTCATATCCGAGTTAAAGCCGCAAAGCATCGCACCGCACTAGCATACTCCACAAAAGTCCACCCCAAAGCATTTTTAGAGTATCAAATCTTGTTTTACAATGCACCCAACTAAGCCAAATTCACAATAAGCTTTCTGCTCAATGGGTTGGGCCTTACCGAGTCGTTGAAGTCGTCAAGAAAGGAACCTACAAGCTTTGAGACACTAAGCGAGGGACAAATTATCCTAACTTTGAACATAAACTTACAATTTTATTATAGTTAAATTTTTCATTATTTTATTTATTTTCAACATAAATTTTGTGTTGATTTTTTTTTCTTAGAAGTTTTTTCTTCTCCCTTCAAGGTTTTTCCTCCAAGAAAGGTGAATAAAATAACAATTTAACAATTCTCTCCTTGAATACGACCATGTAAAGGTCGAATAATTCTACAATAACAATGAGCACATAAAGGTCAATAAATATTACAACAACGAACTCGATCACAAAAGGGTAAAATAATTTTGCAGCGACAATGATGACCATATAAAGGTCAGAAAATTCTACAAGGACGAACTTGACCACATAAAGGTCGAATAATTATACAACATTAATAACAACCACACAAAGACCAGAAAATTCTACACCAATGAACATGACCTTATAAAGGTCGAAAAATTCTACAGCGGCAATAACGACCACATAAAGGTCGAAAAATTCTATAACGATGAACACGGTTGGATAATTCTACAGCGAGGATAATGGCCACACAAAGGTCAAAAAATTTTACAATGATGAATGTGACCACGTAAAGGTCAAATAATTCTATAGAGATAATAATAACCATATAAAGGTCGAAAATTTCTACAACGATGAACACGACCATGTAAAGGTCAAATAACTCTACAGTGACAATAACGACCACCCAAAGGTTAAAAAATTCTACAACGATGAACGTGACCACATAAAGATCAAGTATTATATATTATACAAAGGCGATAGGGAACAAATAAAAGTTACCACAAACGACAAAGTATAAGTTGGAAAAGATACATCAGGACAATTCCACCGAAACTAACCGATGTAATAGTGTCATAGAGTTCAAAATTAAAGGTACAGTAACAAAGTTCAAATCTATATTACACCACTACTCTTCCTCATCCACGATTTTCCCGTCCACAATACTTTTAAAAGGGCCCATGGCAGATAGGTCGACGTCGGGGAAGAGAATGATGACCTACTCCAAAGCACCAACGAATTCGGTCGCGTACATCGTGGCAATTTCGGTCTTTGCAATGTCTTTGAAGAGTTGAAGCTCATTTTCTCCTTCATAGGGAATAAATTTTATCCTTCATATAGGAAATTTCTACTTGGTGGCTTTAGCGAAGCGACTCATGTACCTCCTTCTTGACCCTTAGATCCAATTCTACTTTATGCAGCACCTCGATCATAGATGCCTGAGCCTTTAAGTAGTCATCCAATTTTTGTAGTGCTTGGACTTTCTTGGATTCCACCACTTGTCTTTTTTTTCTTTCGATCGAGCCTTAGATTCCAAGGCCTTCTTTTCAGCATGAGATACGAGTGAATTAGTGGTCGGAAGCAAGTTATGCAGAGCCTGAATCGTATCGATGCAATCCATCTCTGGCAAACTTGGAAACATTCTGAGGAGGCTTTCCTCAGATGGTAATCCCTCTGCTAAGACAAGATGTGAGGTAATGGCGCCTGATTTAGGCTTGATGGTAGTTTTCTGTTTACACCTAGGACAAACATCACTCTCGGTCCTCTTGGACCCTGAACCTATATCCTCCATCCGAACTGGAGTAGATGTTTCCCTGATGGTTATCGCTTTAGCGGGTTGTTGCTCGACGACCATAACTTCACGAAGATGTCAACTCATTTCTTTATTTGATAAAGTCATTTGTTTCTCTACAAAAAATCGAAGGAACATCAATCAATCGATACTAAAAATACTAAGGAGAGGGAGATTGTGAATACCTATATAGACTTTAAGGTCAATAACATGGAATTGTAATTTAAGAAGTGTGGATCTATCAAAAATAGTATTCAACTGCTCGAGCATACGATAATGATCGGCTTCAATCTACTCCAATTTTACTAATTGGTTGGTAGTTTGGAAGTGGGGATTGACAGTTCAATAGAGGGGAAATCCTTCCACTAAAGATGAGTCTGATTTAGAGGCTCAGACTTTAAGAAAACGCCCCCTTAAATTGCTTATAAGATTATTGGATCAGGTTTAGTAAAACACGACCATGCATACCACTCACTGAAATCCAAGACGTCCTTTTCGAAGAATTACACTAAAAAAAGTAAAAGAACATACTAGACGTTTGAACAACACCAAAATGGTGGAAAGTATATGGAAAACTCGAATAAAGGCCTAGCTATTGGGATGAAACTGGGTGTGGCAACATTTAACACGGTAAAAAATTCTTTTTCAAAATTACACAGAGGTAAGCATACCCTAACTTGATAAACTGAGTATCATATATAAAGAAAAAGGGTTTCAAGTCATCCTCTTGATCCCGACAAATGGACTTAGAGGGATCATACACCTGTAAAACTACATCCTTATCACTACCGAAGCGACTCAAGGGTTGATTATGTCTTAAATGCCTTAAAAGTTTTGCAATGGTATAACCAGAGGTTTCATAAAGAATCTTGATTTTAGCCCATGGGTACAAAACAATATCACTCATTTCTTTTAGGGATTTATCAGTCATTCTCGCAGACAAAGAGCAACTAACACAAAGTGCATTAAATAACTAAAAATCAAAACCATGAATAACTAAGATGGACTAACATACCTAAACAATGAGCTTGCACGAGGAAGGAGGAAGGAAACTAAGGAAGAAATGCGATAAGAGAGGCGAGAAAGTAAGGATGAAATGAAGCATGAGGGAGGCAATGAAGGAAGAAATCTAATACACGAAAGTGATGAAGGATATGGAGAGGCAAAAGATGTCACACATGCATGACACGTGGTTGACATGACTATATGAGATGTTTCGACAGTCTTAAAAGAGTGGTGAAAGAGTTCCCACCATAACAAGGTAATAGTAGGGTCACGTATCGGTGGTTGATGCTTATAATAATTGATATCAACAAAATACTGACATATGAAGTCTCGATGTTTAATACTTGAGACTACGGATTGTATAATGTCCAAGTAGTTTGACTCGTCATATGACTGATATATTAAATCGGTCACGTGATGAGTTGTTTAATTATGAGAAAATTCTTAAAATAAAGTCTAATATCTTGTCTCCGACTATAAAGAAGAAGAGTAAGCGAGGACCCCGACCTAATACCAGGGATAAATGCAATGAAAGAGCTAAAATTAATGGACATAAAAACGAAAGAAGAATATTAAAAAGAGTATTGTTACCGAAGTAAATTTTAAACAACAAATTATATTGATAATTTTTAAATTTAAATCTAGTTAATCAAATTTAATAGAATTTTTCAATTATTTATTTTTTATATAATATAATTTGAATATTTATCAGACTAATTTATTACCGGTTTATTTTATATTAAAATTTTGAGACGAGTTTAAAGCTAAAGTTTTTCTTTTATTATTGTCTTGGTTTAAGAAGTAGGTCAAAAATATCCATTTCACTTGTAATATAATTTAAATATTTATATGATTTAAATATTTGTTAAATTTAATCATTAATTTTAAATCTTTAACATGTTATGCTGTTTAGAACGGGGTTAGCTTGGAGTGATTGCAATAAATAAGATGTCATAACGAAAGTGGACCAATTGGCATGCAAGCCCTTGAGGGTGACAGGACAACTAACCCTGTAAAAGTACCAAAACCTCAACATATACCGTTGGGATTGATATTCTCATTTTTACCCCTAACAAAAATATCATCAACAAACTCTTTCATTTCACTTTCATTGCACTCGCTTTAGAAGCCACAACAATACTCCCACTATGCAAAACTAAACATAATGGATGTTATGAAATGAAACCATCTTCAAAAGAAGAGCAAGACCACCATGATAGGGTTTTTTCTTGGAAAAGCAAATTAAACACTAGAGTGTGATCCATCACCAGCATTGTACCATCAGTTTCATTGGAAGCATCTATTGTTCTTCATACACAATGGATATCAATGTCAGGACAATCCACCATCATTATTTAACTGTACCTTGCCTCTCCTTTTAAATCTCATGCCAATTGGAAAGTAGAAATATATAAGAAAACATAAAACTATGAGGTGAATTCTGTGACCCTCTTAGGAAGTTTTTAAGAATTACAGGTTAGAGTAAGAAGTTTATTTGAATTGTTTTTAGTGGTAAAATTGATGTAATATTATGGAGAAGTGTGAATTTTATGTAGAATGAATTTTAACAACTTGGTGGAGTTGTTCAGTTGGGTTTTCCCTGATTAGTTTTACAAGTAATTGTTAATATCATGTTTGCTATATCTAACTTCTCACTTATTAGTTATTGGTAGGTTCCACAGTTGCTTTTAAGTTTTAAAACTTCTTACCAACTTTTTTAGTTGTATCTTGTAGGAACACAAGTTTGTTCCAGTGCCTTGTTTTTTTGTACTGTTGTGGTGCCTATTTGGTAAACTGCAACAAATAATACCTCTGGTTGTGGTACATGTATTGCAAAGTCTGTATTTGCTATTAGTTTTGACATACATTAATTGCTTCCAAAGGTTCAAAATTAATTTCATCAAAATCCATCTTACCAATATCTAAAACAAATAGGTATGAATTAAAAGGTGTGGGTCCATTAAAAGAGTTAAAAATGTGGATGAAAAATGGTTACTTGAATGAAGTTGTTTAAGTCCACACATGCACACTAATAAGTAGTTGGGAACAGTATTAAATAAAATAAAATAAAATGTTTAAAATTAATAGTGAAATACACATCAGTAATTCAATTAAGAGGAAAAATAAATGTAAGATATAGGGTGGAACAGTAAAATTTAGGCTAACACAACCATGATTTATTTTCAATAACATTAGTATTAAATCTATAAAGATCATAAAAAGTTTTTCTTTTTATTATTTTAATGGAGAAGAACGAGCTTAAAATTAACGGAAGGGAAGTTGATTGATTTCCACTTGGCTGACAACTTATTATTCATTCAGTGACAAAAATATAGTTTGTAGAGTAAATTTCACTAAAATTAATCAGTAATATTAGTCAATATTTTATACTTATAACAAAATAAATAAATAAATTAATGACAAAAGTAAATGAGCTTAAAACTCAATTAGTAGTTCTTGGAACTAAACGTGAGGACTGAAGAATGATGCCTAGGATCCAATTTAATACCACATTGATAGCTTTCAAGAGAAACTGGTTTGGTTAATTAAAATTTTGTGCATTTATAATTAAAATATGTTAATCCAAACATCACCCAAAGTTAAGTTCGTCAAGGGCTTCATAAACACTAAAGGGTTTACAAATATCATTTTTGTAAAACAAATAGAGATTTTAGGAGAACATGATAAAATAAATATTCTCTATCGGAAACATATCATATTACAGCCAGTAATAAAATTTCTGCTCCAGTTAAAAGGTTTGCAGGCAGTAAACATTAAAACAAATAACTAGTGTACATTCTCCATAACTAGCTTGTGGTCGACCAAAAAACCTTGTCGGAAACTCAAAAATGTTTAATTAGCACAGCACGGTGTGCGGCCGAAAAGATGACAGTTGGTCCCTGAAAGCATTGGGATTCACGTGCTACTATCCAATATAATATGCATTAACTAGAAATTGGACTGTTTAGCAAGAGTGAGGATGAAAATCAAAGCAAAACTGTTCTGTTAGAACTGGAATTAGCTGTGCTGTTGCATATCTTAGTTCCACTGAGAATATAGCCCCCAAATGCACTCATTTGCATGCATGGGTGAGTTCTAGATGGAAGTACCTGCATATATATTATTAAATTGTTAAAGGGAGGGTCTGATCTGTATTTTGTACCATAAAAAAATTATGAGTAACATAAATAACTTAAAGTACTTCACAAAAGTTGTCTAATTTCATAACATTGATATGAATAGCATAAATAACTTGTACCTGGTATTCACGCAGCCAAGGCTCTGATATTTGCAATCCAATGGCCATTTTCTCAAGCTGTAGATTGTGCATGCAAGTTGCAAGAGGCTGCATTTATACAACATTGGACAAACAAGAAGATTATGTTAGCTCAAGTGCAATGATCCCACATATATAGGAGAAGAAGGAATATGAAAAATGGGCCCAAAAAGCTATAATAAATAAACGCAAGTTGGTCTAGGACTAGAGAAAAAAAGAAATTTCATGAAACAAGAGTGAAGAAAACATTTAACTTCTTAAAATTTGTTGGTAGTCATAAAATCTTTAACACTTTACTAAGGTATACATATTCACAGCTACACGGGAAAAACAGCATTTGATCCCCAATATCAAAGAATTAAAAGAAATCATATCATTTAATTCATAAAAGAAATTATATAATAATTCATTAAGCTAAAAATGAAAAATAAATTACCTGAAGATATTGGTGATAAATAGCAAATGGAGCAGAGTTCGCTAAAAGGGGCAAGAGATCTCTAACCAGTGTCCAAGCATCCAATTCTGGGGCAGCAACAATTAAACTGTACAAATGAAAAGAAAAATGTTCAATTCCTTTAGTCTTTGAACAGTGAGGGGGGCATATTTAAGCATATATACCTAGAAAACCCATTTTCCCTCCACGAATCAATGATTTCTTTCTGTGGCCTCTCTCCAGCCTTTGGAGCTTTCCGAATTTCTATAGCAGGTTCAGTATTCTCTATCCCAATATCAGAAATTCCATTTTCCGATGAATGAGAGATTTCATCCATGCTGGCCAATGCAGATGTTTGATCCTGCACACATCATAACTTTTTATAGTCTGCAAACAAGACAGAAACCCATCAAGAGATCAAGGAGATGCTACTCACATTTGACTGACTTTCCACATTGCAGACATCATGTTCCAGAACTTGTTCAGGTGATTCTTTTGGTAACAAGTCAGAAATGGGAGAACGTAGAATTCTGCTACAAACAAGAGATGATGATCATAAAGCCAGAGACAATAACCAAAACCTTGGAGCATATACATTCAAAATGACCACCTAATGAGGCTGTAAACAAACAACTAGTTCAAAGTCATTTTCTTTGGTTCTCAGATAGTAACATGAAATTAATTATATCAATTATATGAACAAAGCATTATCATATGGTGAACGAGCATATAATATTAACTATTATTTATTGTAGAAACTTGCCAGGTTTACAAAGAACATCCAAAACTATCTTTGAAAATTAAAGCTTAAAAAATGCTAATCATTCTTTCCTCCTTTAGTGTAATCGGTACAGCAACAGTGATAAAACACCTTAAGATGATTTAAAAAGAAAAAAAAAATTAATACAAGAAAACAGATCATCTGACCTCTTGCAGATTTCATCACTCAAGTTAAATATCCTCACGATATCCATGGAATATGGTGCCTGCCCAAAATATGAGTTGCATACAAAACCAGTACCTGTAATAGTCAACGTGGTTAGACACTACACCACCAGTCTACCACTTGCTCAATCACATGATTGTTTAGGACAGAGAATAGGTCTGTATAAAACAGAAGTTATATTTTCTTTATAAGTCACAGTTTATTACACATTTTGAACTCATTTGTCACAGCTTCTTTAGTAAAAGAACCACTTTTATTATTAGGAAAAAATGGCACTATCTAAAGGGCCAACGTAGTTTAATTTATAATATACCTCCTAAACGTTCTGCCACAGCACCAGTAAGAAGGCCACCAACCATATCAACTACGAGAATATCAGAATTTGAAGAAACGTTAGCCATGGAAAGGAGAAGGGACAATGTGTCTACCCGCAAGAATCTGAAAAAATAATATCAAGGATATATGCATCAATTCATCTAGAAAAAATGAACCCACTATTTTACTTCTTTAAAAAGCCAAATATGTATTTTTGTATGTCTGAATGGCGAACAGGTTACACAAGTGCAATATATATACATATATTTTCAGAATATTTACATCCCGACACTGATAATAAAATCATGAGACTGTTTTCTTCTCAAATAAAGTTGGGAGTATGGTTTAATAAAAACCATAAAATTAGCAATTGTACAGCCAGACTATCAGTCAAAATATAACATATACAATGTTGAGATTTGCTCTTTCTATTTCTTTTTCATTTGTTTTAAAACAACATGCATACATCAAAGATATTTTAATGCTTGTTGTTCACAATTTACATCCAATAGAAAATAGATGCAAATGGTAAACACGTGAGGAAAAATTGCTCCAATAAGCTGAAGATTAAACTCACCCAATTTTTGATGGATACTTCTTAAAATAGGCCTCACATATACTGGAGGAAAAAAAAAAGACTAACTGTGAGCAATAGAGTAGAGACTCAAAATATCAATAACTGATACGGTAAACATATAAAGATATGTCAGTCCAAAAGTAACAAACAGTTCATAAGAGAAAAATTGTCAATGTTTAAAGAGCATCATATATCTGCTTGATATTATTTATCTATTGTTTACTGAATCAATATAATGCTCCCTGGTCCTATCACAAGCAAACAGTTTATAGTACGGTGACAGAAGGCATATAACAGCATAACGTCTTTGCATCAACAGAAGAAAAACCAGAAAGTTCAAATGTATATCTTTTATATCAAAGGCATAGTGATCAGTTGCACAAAAAAAATGTGAACCATTATCAATATGTAATGATAAAGACAGCAGGAAAAAAAATAATCAAGGAAACCTTCGTGCAACAGGACGTCTCATAAGTACTTTTGGTGCATATTTCTTCTGCTTCTTAAGTCTATATTTCTCCTGCAAAAATAGCAAAGATTCACTTCAATTACATTTCAAAAATAAATAAAAAATAATTTATATATATTGGTCCCAAAGAGATAATACTGTGATATTTTGGTCCCCAAAGGTTTCCATCTTTACAAAGTAGTCCCCCAAACAAATTTGTGAACATGCTAACAATTTCGATCTCCCGTTATTTGGTATTACTTATTTATTTGTGAACCCTAGCAGAGAATGCTAAACGAATATATGTAATGCTAATTGTTTGAAACAATTCTTACATGAAATGACATTCCCCTAGAACCATATATGGCCCTGAAATCGGTTGGTGCAGTACCCATAGAGCATGTTTGGGATAGCTTAAATTATTGATTTCAGTTGTTTTCGTTGGAAGAAAAAAAAAGCTTTTGAGAATTTACAGAAACCTTTAAGTATATTTACTCCGGAGTACACTATAAAAGATTTTCATAAATAAAATTACCTGAGAGAATGATGTTTTCTTTTCAAATGTCGCACTATTGGCAATGAGAGCTTCGATTATTTCGTTACCTCTTGCACCTTGCCTACATAAAGGATAAAGGATATTCTTTCACCACCAAATCCCACAAGATTGGCAAAGAAATAATAGATTGATAGTTCATTTCAGAAAGGCAGGTAGAATTCACAAGAACAAACTCAACACAAAGAACAAGACTAAAACCACAATTGCAATATATATCAAATCAAACTCACGGAACCAAAATACATTTAATCCCCAAAAAGCTATTACCAAGAACTGGAATTCAACCTCCGGAAAAGATGCACTCACCTTCGCATGGCTTCTATATCTTCACCAGTCAGACTTTGTGCGGTATTATTGTCAACCAATGCTCGATTGTCCCTCGACTCAACATTCACTTCACCATCTCTTGCTTGTGCAGCGTTATTAACATTAACTTTGTCCATCTCATTATTCCCTTGACCATCTCCTATTTCCTCAGCATTATTAACATTAACTGAATTGCAAATAGAGAGACACCATACATGTTAGAGCAAGAGAAAACAATGGCAGTGCTGAAAAGTGCATCAATTAACCATAAAGAATAAAAGAAACAAAACTCAATCACAGATAACATCACTCACAGACATGACAGAAACAAACATACAACTGAACAACGCTAAGGTTTTTTCTTTTAGAGACAAAAAGGAAATATGTATTGAAATCAGACTTCAACACAAGAACAACCAAAGTATTGAAAGAGAGCAAAAGCTTGACACAGAGCAAAACATAACAGCTCCACTCTTACATATCATCCTCACACTACCACACGCTTTCCAAAAGTATCTAAACTAACTAAAACAACCGTGACAAATCACCCAGATGGGAACCTCCACATATCTAAGTTGCAGTAGCCATTTCAAAACGACTCACGCATTGTACCTTTTCCATCGCCCATCACATATTCATATATGCCAAAATGTCTTTTTGATCAAACTTCATTCCTATAATAACCCCTGCACACAAAACCATGCAGCACCAAACATACAGCCCATATGATTCCAAGTACAAACTCCAGCCTATAAAACGGAACATCAATTACACAGTACAAATCTAACAATGTCAATGAAAAATAGAGAAAACAATCTACAGACTGGAATGGAGTTCTACACTATCGTCATCAAATCACAAAATACCAAGCAAGATAAATTTACTAACTTTTACAGTGACTACCTACCTCAAGAATCATATTGTGATCACGTACTGGTTGACACTAAAAAAAGTTTACTTCACACTAAGTAATCAGAAGTGAATACACAGAGACAACAAATAATACTCTGCTCAAATGGGAATGGTAACTAAATGAAAAAGGAACAGGCGTGAACCTTGTGCGGGAGAGAGATAAGGTCCATTGGGTGCGGTATCCACTTGAAAAACGGTACCGAAGGCACGACCAATTAAGGGTTGCAGAGAGCAGTTTTTATTCCCAATCTTCAACTTCCTGCAACACCAATGTTATTATTATTAAGAAAACAATAATTTATATTAAACTCAAAAAGGGAAAAAGAAACAAAATAAGAAAACTAACGCTGCGGGAGAGAGACGAGCGAAAACGAGCCGGTCTCCGTCGTTGATATCAAGCAAGACGCTGCAACCTTCCCAAGTGACTCTGCTACTGCTACTATTACTTTCACTCATCTTCTTCTCAATTTTATTTATACAGTTAACTAAATTCCTAAATTCAGTGCTTCACATTGAAATTCAGTCACACAGAGAAAGAAGGATCTAATAATATGATTCAACAACCTATGAATGCGCAGCGATTTTAGTGTCTTCGTGTTAAGCGGTTTGTATTGTGCACTGTGCATGCGTTACAAGCATACACCTTTGATCACAGAAACTAGGGTATTATGAGCACTAGAATTAGGATTTAGCATAGGATCTATTAACCGTTGCGTTTTAAGTCATGCACTTGGTTGGGCCTTCCTTTTTCAACATGTTGGGCTTTTAACCTTTGCACCATTCTTTAATCACGTATTCATTCAATTTCAATAGGAATGAATACGTGGTTAAAAAATATAAAATTAAGATATTCACGTTTTTTAAAAATACATTGATCTTAACTTTTAGTATCCTGAGTCCATCGAAATACTTAGTTTTAACATGATTATTTTAGTAACATGTATCCAAATACTTTTTTAGGGAATTTAAAATTTTTTATTTTTATTGTATTGGAATAATATTTCACTAAAAAAATGTTAGAATATTGCCAAACCAATAACTATAAAGTTATGGGCTTTGATAATTACCATGATGAGTTTTGGTTGGTAATTGTTGATTTCCCAAGACTAATCAATGACAAAAATTGTATTCAAAATAAACTCATCAGGAAATAAAAATTGTGGGCAAAATAAATTCATGGGTCCTTACTGAGTTATCAAGTTGTTGCGAGACAATTAATAATTAAATAGCATATCAGTAAAAATGTATAAATTTTCGAAAGCTTTTATTGATGACAAAACTCTTGAAAATTTTATATTTAAAGTTCAAGCAATAATCGTTGATTTTAATTTTAAACAATTAATAGTTTAAATTGTATTATGTTATATTAACGTAAACGAAATACAATTAAATAACAACAAACATAAGAAATCAAAAGCCCCGTAAAGAAAAAGGTCAACAATGTAAAAAGAAAAAATATAAATTATCTTTTATTACAATCTCATAAAATCGTATGGATAATAATTATCATGAAATAATAATAATATATCTAGGTTTGTAAGTGGAACACTGTTCCGTTTTTTTTTCCATATAATTTCAAATGTTTAATATATATATATATATATATATATATATATATATATATATATATATATATATATAAATATATATTAATGAAGATTTTTTTTCAACTATTATAAGAGTACTGGTATATTTTATTAATGATATAATTTTTGTTAAAAATTTATGAACAAGATGTAATTGTTCCTTATCTATAAGAAGATATTATATTAGAATACAACATATATTTTATTATCTTGAGGAATTATTTTTTTATTCAAATATTTTAATTAGGTTTATCATATCTCATTATTGTTAATTATATTAAAAAAAATAGATATTGTTAACTACATAAAAAACATATGATATTTATAAGTGATCGCATTTGAAACAAACCACATGGAAATTTTAATATTATGTAAGGTTTTAATAGATTGAGATTTATAATTTAACATGTGAGAAAATTCTAGTATGAGAAAATGATGTTACTCATCGTATACGCAGACATACATTATATTTGTTTAAAATAAAGATATATTAAAAAAATAAAACAAAACACTCTTTTTTTAAAATTATTTTTTCACTCTTAAACTTAGTTGAACATGTACATAAAATTATTTATGTACATAAAGGATGTATAAAATATTATTGTAACTTCTTTTGTCTTGAATAAATATAAAAATGGATAAATCATGGATTGATATGTCTCGAAATACAACGGAATATTTGGATAATCTATCTATTAACGAGTACAATAACATGTCAATATCCTAGATAAGAGTCTCAAAATAGGCTTAACTCAATATATTAGTACGAAAGATATAAGAAGTAGGCTAAGTTATGCTAAAAAAAATAGTACTTAAATTGAATTATACCTATTTGACCTGACACTGCTTAGGTTATGACACCTATACAAGTTAACTCATAAGCTTATGAGTCGACCCATTATATAGAATAATAATTATTTTTAAATAAAATAAAAGTATTTATTTTATTAAAAAATATATACATCATAAATTTATTTGATAAGAAACTCATTTATTCTAAGAGTATATATAAAAATAAGTATCTAAGATCCACTTATTTCATAATTTAAAGGTTAAAATAAAATACTATTTTAGATCAATATATCACTAAAAAAATGATGATAATAAAGAGTAAATTTTTAACTTTTATTTTGAAATTAAATAGATTTTTTATCTTATAACTTATATATTAAAGCATTATATTTGAAATAAAAATTAATCATTAATATAATATAAATTTTAAAAATATTTTGTGTATTATTTTAAATTTTTATTTAAATAATTTTTAATTAATTATTTTGATATAAACATATTAATATATATTTTTATTTCCAATTAGGTCAGAATTGGTATGTTAACCTATTAGCTTAACATAAGGTCAAATTAAACCTAAAGTTATGACCCGTTTAAAAATATAGGTCATGATGAGTCATCAATTTCTTTTACTAAACTCGTAGAACTAAACTAAGATGAATTGAGTCGTTCATTTTAACAACCTTATTCTTAAATGTCACTATAACAAATGAGAAACTAGAGATGTTGTATTCAACCAATGGATTTACAAGCACTTCCCAAGAAATTACAAGGCCTGAATTTGGCATGGGGAAACATATGAAACATCAAGTAGCAAATGTGTCATTACAAAATGAAAATACAATGATAGATATGATAATAAATTATGCACTTAAAACAAATGAACATGATTTGGAGTCTAACGAATGTGAAGGATAACTTGAGTTTGTAGAAATCATGCCTAATAAAAAATATGAAGATTAAGATCAGTGGCGGATCTTCTTGGGAGCTGAGGGCCGTGGCCCCCAAAGTTTTATAACTCCCATGTAATTTATGATTTTGGCTCCCCAAACTTAATAAACATTTAATATATTTACTTGTATATTTACAATTCTATTCTCTCAGCCCCTCCTCAATTTTGTAACTCTCATGTAATTTATGACTTTGTCTCCCTCAAACTTAATGATCATTTAATATATTTAAATATATATCTACAATTTTATCCTTTTACCCTTTCATCTTCTTTCTTCCTTTTATATTTATTTATTATTTATTAATAATATATTATTTTATATTTATTCTTTATTAATAATATATTATTTGGCCCCCCCAAGATCAATGGTCAAGATCCGCCACTGATTAAGATGATTTGCTTAGAGATTGCAACCAAAAATTATATGAAAGGTGTCAAAAGTACTCAAAGTTATTTTTTCCATTAAGGTTATATCATATAAAATGTTTGTATGGTATGAATTGCATGGCTATGTCAATGATTTTAGAGTTTTCGGCAGATACATTCACATTTGCAAAATTTCCTACTTCATTTTATAAGGTAAAAAAGGTGATTTATAAGTTTGGTCTTAATTATACCAAGATAGATGTTTGCCAAAAACAATTGCATGTTATATTGGGGAAAAGATGAAAACTGAAGAGTTGCAAATATTATAAGAAATTTATATGGAAAGAAAGGGGTACTACTGGCAAAAAGAAAATACCAACAAAGATCTTACATTACTTTCCCTTGAAACCAAGGTTGCAAAGATTATTCATGTGTCCTAAAACACCAAAGTCCATGAGATGACATGTGTTAAATGATAACCTAGATGGATTATTGAGGCAACCAAGAAATGCTAAAGAATGGAAGAGTTTTGATCAACTTCACTCTGAGTTTGCTTCAAAACCTAAAAATATGCACCTTAACCTTGCAACTCATGGCTTCAATCCATATCGAACTATGAATAATAGTCATTGTATATGGCCAGTGATTCTAACTACATATAATTGACCTCCTTGGAAATGTATGAAAAAATTCTCTTTTATTTTTTTCTATGATCATCCTAGGAAAAAAAATGTATAGGAACAAGATAGATGTGTATCTACAGCTTCAAGTGAAATAGTTGAATGAGTTATGGACAAAAGGTGCGGAAACTTATGATTCTTTTTTTAAAGAAGTGTTCATAATATGAGTGACTCTCATATGGAAAATTTTGTGATTAAGAAGCTAATAAGAAGAATCTTCGAAGTCTTGACTAGAAGATTTGATGAAGTCAAAAGAAGTTATTAAATAGAAGATATTGTACTAGTCCATTAGTGAATATGCATCTACTTTGAGTAGGTATAAACATCTATCTTTTCCTATAGTATAGGTTTCTATCTTTTACAAGAGTATAAAGTGTCTCAAGCATTTTTAATCTGTTAAAAATTGTTTTAATCGATTAATATGTTCTTCAATCGTAGTTTTAACTGATAAGTTTTTTAAATAATTGATTAAAATCACTTAAGAAACTTGAAAACACTTTTTGTCGCAATTTTAATTGATAAATTTTCAAAATAATCGATTAAAACCACTTAAACAAAGTGAAAAAAATTTCTGTCGCGTTTTAATTGATATATCTTCAAAATAATCGATTAATTTCACTTAAGAAGTTTGAGAAAATATTTTTTCAGAATTTTAACAGATATATCTTCAAAATAATCGATTAATTTCACTTAAGAAGTTTGAGAAAACCTTCTTTCAAAATTTTAACTAATATATCTTTGAAATAATTGATTAATTTCATTTAAGAAGTTTTAGAAAACCTTCTATCGAATTTTAACTGATATATCTTCGAAATAATCAATTAAAATCACTTAAGAAGTTTTAGAAGACTTACTACTAAAATTTTAATCGATATAACTTTAAAATAAATAATTAAAAACACTTAAACAATTTTTTGTATCATAGTTTTAATCGATTAAATCTTATTTTTATCGGTTAAAATATCTCCGGAAAATTTCCAGAATTCTTTTAATCGATTAAACTAGGTTTTTATCAATTAAAACATCTCGGAAAAATTTGGTAGAACCTTTTAATCGATTAAAAGAATTTTCATCAGTTAA